AAAGTCAGAATTCTGAGATTAAAGTCAGAATTCAAATAATATTTTCATGGTGGCCCTAATCCTCTTCCGTAGGTGCGCGCTCTTTTGGAGGAGAGGGAAAAATAAGAAGAGGGACGGAGAGTCGTGTTTTTAGGGAACACCTAAAAAAGTAAAAAATTGTTCATCTATCTCCAGCCTAAGGGAATAGATAGAGTTTAAGGTGTCGGCTAGACATTTAAACGAGTTAACTCGAGTAAACGTAAATGGGCAGTCAATAGTGGTGAGGTCGTGCTAGACAGAAAGCATTCAGCCAAGCTGAAGACTAACGTCCTGCAGTTAGCCACGGGCTGAGGTGAGGACATTGCTGTGGTACTTTACTCGGCGTAGAAGAACCATCATCCACCTACAGAAGGGGGACGTGGAAATCTCTGTTGGGATCGACGACTCCTGGAACTGAGGGGAAAGAAGCTGCGTTGGCGCAACACGCTGCCGGACACCGCCCGCCCCTCGCTTTCCTCCTAACACGACGAGGTAATGAAGTCTATACTTTTATGGGCTCAACAGAGCGAAGCGGCTGTGCTAATTTGTGCCCTCCACGATCACAAGCAACGAACAGGCCTGCAACGTAGAACTCTGGTTACTGGTTCGAACTCAGTATCACATTTATGGTGAATGTGCAATTTTGTAAATTTGGTTTAAATAGGTGTATAAGCTAGGTACTTCATTTTAAGTTAACGGGCAAATGCGAAGAAGTCCAGGGTATTTTGTTTAACTATCTTTTTATTTCCGGTTAGTAACCATTGTTTAAGTAAAGAGTGGTTGAATTTATTATATGCTCTTGTGTCGTGTCGGTTTGTTCTGAGTGCCTTCGTTTGTAATATGTGTATGGGTATACATATAACTAATCCCCGACGGCTATAGTTAGTAAATTTGGGAAATATATTTAGGTAAAAGAACTCAAGGGGCACCCCTTTTGAGGTTTGTGTGTAGCCTAGCCCACACGGTGTGGAAGAGGGGTGCTACACACACAATTGTTATGTTTATTTTGTTAATTTTTCCTTACTGCAATGGCACACAATTGATATTTTCCTTTGTATTTTTTGAAGTATGTATGTATGTGTGAATGTCATACATCTGTGCGCCTATGTGCATGTATACTGTGTATAAGGTACTGGACACCTAAATTTCCTTCTGGATAAATGAAGTATCTCTGTCTGTGTCTGTCTGTCTGTCTGTCTGTCTGTCTGTCTATCTATCTATCTATCTATCTATATTGAAGGCACAGCAGGAACTGCAGGACAGAAACAGGAATAACAGGGACAGGGCACCACAGGGACTACTGGGCAAGAGGGTGACAAAGGGGCTGCAGGACAGGAGCAGAGACTGGAACAGAAACAAAAGGGTGTCGTGGTTACCGCAGATCAAAAACTGGAAATAGGGGGGTACCGTGGTTTTCCTCCGCCAGGCTGCAACAGGAAAGATTCCTGGGCAGGTGACGTCAGGCAGATGGGCACCGTGGATGATGTGCCCCTCTCTGGGAGACACTGACTCAGCCAGCCCTTCTCCTGGACCCCAGCTGATACCGGTGACCACCCTGGACCCTGGGACTGGAGCAACCCAAGCCTTAGGCAGAGGCAAGGGCCCACAGAGCAGGGATCAGGGTCAGGCCAAGGGGATCCCACTCTAAGGGTTGATTTATACTTGATGCTTATAAAGCATAGGCATATACATCATGGCCACCACGTGTTTTCTGCGTTGATTCCACACATCACCTATGCACCTACGTGAGGAATTACAGTTTTTCTCAGTCGCTTTCATGCAATTTCCCCATTAGAAACACCATTCTCACCACTCTTAATGCAGCTCTCAAAACAGTAATATAGTCTCCCACAGAAATGAGCATTTCTCATCTGACTTTAATTCATCAAAACAGTTCAGACATTCATCACTGAGAGTTGCAGGTCTCTCACTCGTTTTGATACTGTCACGCAATGCATTAGTGTCATCAATCGAATCATTTTAAACTTCTTTCAGGTATGTAGTAAAGAGTAAGGCCAATCACACACTGTCAGTGGTAACAAAAAAATTGGTCTTCAATTGAAAATAAGTGGAATTACATGTTCTCGGATAAGATTCACTTGAAACAAAGAGAAACACATGTTAACAATCTTATATCAGAGGGGAATATCATGCCACTAGATTGCATTTAGACAAGCATATATACACTAACCTAAAGGATTATTAGGAACACCATACTAATACAGTGTTTGACCCCCTTTCGCCTTCAGAA